CAACAAACAAAGGGATCTAATGCCTAGACATACACTAAAAGATTGGCAAAATGCTAAATTGTGATAAGCCCAATCTTGTGACTCTAATAACCATAAGCCAAGGAGGTATACAGTTTCAGCTTCTACAAATGTCAAGGGTAAAAGGAAGGCTACGTAAATGATGGCAGTCTTTCTGGTGGTTTTCAGTGGTGGCCTGATAGGAATGGATTATCGTTTCTAAGATAACTGGGCGCTTGGAAACCTAAGCTCTTCATAAAAACCTGTGTCTATCTGCAGCAGAATTCAAGAGGTAGATTCTCTAGAGAAACTATGAGGCCACTTCAGGCATCTTGGCATTGTTATGCCCATTAGAACACAGCTTCCTCTTCTACACCCACTCCCTGGCAGAAAGTAGCCACACTCTGACACAGAGAATCAGAGAAGTTTCACTATATCTGGCCGCACAGGACTGGGTATGTGCAGTGATTGTCCTGAGACCCTCGGCCCCTGGGCAAGCAGGCAACCCACTGGATACTAGGGCTAGTGTAAGAAAGAGCAAGAAGAGTGTGTAGGTGTTGACTATATTCAGACTGGAATCAAGTCTACAACTTTTGAAATGAGGAGGCACTGCCTTTTTTTTTTTAATCAGTTCTAAAAGCATAATCTTTCTTTTTGTACTGAAAAGGATCTATCTGCTCCAGGCACCATTTTTTTTTTTTTATAAAAGTTGCTTTGGTAACTATAATGATAATCATTTCCAGATATGATAGAGACCTAGCTTTCTATTCAGATGCCTTAGATAAGCCAGAAATTCTGAGTCTTAATCCTGATTCTCTTAAGGGTTGTAGAATGCCTTCTTTTAAAGAGACAGAGGGCGGAACTTTCCTGTGAGAAATTGTTCGGGTTCATTGAGTTCTTTCATCACTCAGGCTTGAGAGAAAGCCCCTGGAGTGGTTTTCACCATGCTCTCCTCTTGATTCCCAACCATGACATGTCTGCCCCAACGCTTCTCTTGCCACAGAGCTGTGATGAGAGGTAGACAGGGGAGAAAATGAAAGAGAAAGGCTGGGAGGGCAAGAGGCTGAGGAAAGGATCAGAATGATACCGACCATGCAGGACTGAAGGGCCAAGCTCCCAGACTCCCCTATCTCCTTCCCGCTTACTTCTAGCGTTGGGAAAAGATCTTCAGTATACTTGTAAGGAAAAAAATCAGACCAAATATTCTGGAATTTGAGCATTACAAAAACAAATCTGGTTTTACTATTCACCGGCTTAGTTTTGCCAAAGTTCTGGAAAATTATAAATCATTCCATGATGCAAAAAGAACAAAAATATTTTTTTCCTTTTCTTTTTGCTTCAGTGCAGAGAATATCAACTGTCAGTTACAGAATGAAGAACTGATAAGGTTTTAGTATTCTAGCCTGTTATTTCCATCTTGAAGGGCTGTATGACAACTGTTTTCTGGGAAAAATCTGAAAGGCTAAGGGGGATTTTCCGTTTGAAATGTTTGTAATGAAAAGACCACATTTCAATTTGGCCCGAAGACAACACTGGTGTGGGGTTCTGACTGCCCATCTTTTATTTCTGGCTCTGTCATAACCTGTGTGCATCTATCCCTTTGCCCCTTTCTGTTGTAACTACCAGAACTAGAAAGAGAATAGATGTCAATAGAGCAAGCTGCTAAGAAAACTGTTACGTATATTTCTCCTCTCATTAGTACTAGAGTTGTCCTCAAAATTCCTCATTGTCATAAGTCTCACCATCTCCAACTTTAAGCATATTATCCTATGCAGGACCACCTGGCATGGCCAAAACAGAAAGAGGGGAAGAGAGGGTGGAGAGATGATCTATTTGTGGTTTTGGTGAGAATACCTTCACTATTAAGAAAATTCATGACAGACCTAGTGGCTCACACCTGTAATCCTAGTTACTTAGGAGGCTGAGGTCTGAGGATCATGGTTTGAAGCCAGCCCAGGCAGGAAAGTCCATGAGACTTTTTTTTGGGGGGGGGGGGGTCAGTTGTGGAGCTTGAACTCTGGGCCTGGGCACTGTCTCTCAGTTCTTCAGTTCAAGACAAGCACTCTACACAGCGCCACTTCAGTTTTCTGAGTGGCTTATTGGAGATAAAAGTCTCATGAACTTTGCTACCTGGTCTGGCTTTGAAGGGGGATCCTCAGATCTCAGCCTCCTGAGTAGCTAGGATTACAGGCATGAGCCACTGGCACCCAGCTCCATGAGACTCTTATCTCCAATTAACCACAAAAAGTCGGAAGTGGAGTTATGGCTCAAGTGGTAAAGCACTAGCCTTGAGCACAAAAGCTCAGGGACAGCATGCAGGCCCAGAGTTCAAGTCCGGGACCAGAAAAAAAGAAAGAAGGAAAATCCAAGGCTCTCGGAAGCATCTCTCTTATAGACTGCATGGTGAAACTTGTCACAAAGCTACAGAAACATGCTGCCTGACAAGAGATTCCCTGGAGAAGAGTGGGGCTCCATCTGAGCCATGCAGATTGAGGGAGAGATGAATCTCCCCAGCTTTGCCTGCTCATCCAGTCACAAAGGGACAGGTATGAATACGACCTCCATTCTACCACAGTCACTGTCTCTACCACTTCATTCGGAGGAAATGTACTAAGGTAGGATATCTTGTGTCTGTCATTTGGTTAAAATAACACATGGGGTAACTGTGTGCGCAGTAGTGCACCGTAGCCCACTTCTCCCGGTGCTTACACTGGTCTCCTGTCAGTCAGGGATGCTGTTTGTCTGGCCTCCAATGGTTGAGGTGAGCACCTGTTGGTTCTGAGTCTCACACAGTTGGACAGTTGTGAGGAAGCCACAAGCAGCAGGCTGGTGTGCCGTTTCTACCTTCAGCCTGGTGTAGTCGCATCACGTCAACGATCTTGGGCCCATGGCAGGAAGTGACACGCACTGGTGAGCTGTCACAGGGCCGCCGCAGGGACTTCCAGTGATGCCTCTGCCAACTGTGTGCTATTTTGTAGTTAGCAAGGAGCCAAGAGTGTCTGGCCAGCTAAGGTGTGGAAAAGAACAAGGCCATTTGTCAGATGAGTCTGGGGTTCACACTGACATGGAAGAAACTTTCCTACCAGCTGTGCTGTGCAATTTCTGTGCTGAATCCCCTTTGTGTGAAATTTGGTTGTTTTCACCCACTCCCTGTCTCTGCCCACTGAGCCCTACAGAAAGGAAAGGGGTGGTGAATTTCTAGCAGCCCCCTGAGTTTCTGCTGACCTTTTTAGGTGTTTTTGTTACTTGGCGGTGCTTTCTATTCACGTGTGTGCCTACTTGCTGGGGATTCCCCATCTTTTGATTTGCAAGGAGGATTAAAAAGGTGCAGCTTTGTGATCAGACCATCATACACTACTGGGTATTAACTATTTCCCCTCCTTAAACTCTTCTAAGATCGAGAAAACAGTTCTATTGAGTCACTTGTTCCCCAGAGGTATGAAAATATATTCTTGGGGATGTCTGTCTTGATAAAACACTAATTTTTATCCCCATCGGCCCCAGCTACACTTAACAATGGCTCCCAGCAAACAGGAGCAGGGACTCAGGGGAGATCTGGGAAGCCATGTGTTTCTATGCCACCAGCACAAATGTCAGCCTGGCCACCAAGGGCTCTCCAAACTGCACAGGTACAATTAATTCTATCTCCAGAGTGATCTATGGCATAAAATGGGAAAGTCATTCACTATCTGCATAGATGAGGGTTAAAGTCCTGCCTAGCAACAAGTTCCCATATCATCAGATATGCTTTTAGACAAAAATTATTTCATGTCTTCCAGAAAGGGGAACTGTGTATGGTGTTATTTTTAAAAAGGGGGGGAGGGATGAAATAATGCTTCAGTGTCCATACTTAAATAAATGACATCAGAATAAAGAAACAATAATAACCTACAATTAAACAAAGTCAACATAGGAGAGGCAAGAAGAAAAGAGCCAGAGCAAATACATTAAATGGACAAATATTTACCCAGTGAATAGGATTAGGTTTCCTTCCACAGTGATGTCCTCAGAATGAAGCTCATCACATGCTACAAGTATGTTAAGACAGATATCCAGGCTAAAGTTATATCTCTCTTGAGGCCCAAGCCCTAATGCCAGATGATAAAAAAGAATTTTAGTCTCTGATGCCCATTCTGGTGGCTTTGAAATGACCAATTGGAGCTCTGCCAAGAAATGTGAGGCTATGCCAAGACACAGAGTTGCTAGAGGGGAAGGGAAGGTACATTTACTGCACATTGGCTAAACTTGCCTAATAGAACTATACACGGGTGCTGGCATCCTCTGTTCTTTCCTCTCTCATATTCAGGTGGCTGTTAACTTCCATCTTCATCAAGAATAATAGTTTCACGGCACTTTGTGCCAGCATAGAAGAAATGCTGGGAACTTACTAAAGCAGTAGATACAAATATCCTCGGCTCCCATTTCAGCTGTGGAACATGTACTCTATAGCTACTTTATACACCATAAAATCTCTATATGCCTCAATTTTACAACTGCTTACATAACTGAGATAGTAATCATATTTATTGTGAAGATAAAGAGTTAGCAGATAAAACACTGAAAGTACTTAACACCTATTAGGACATAGAAAATTCTACCTTTTCTGTGACATTCTCATTGATGTGTCATTCATGGTTCACTTCCTGTGATTTTCATCCCCATCCCAAATGCCTGTCTGAAGTATCCCTCTTCACTCCTTTTTAAGTTTTCATCTTTTAGAGAGCCAGTTTAAATCCCACCACTTCTATGAAAATTTCCCTAACTGTTGTAGCCCCAACTAACCTCTTAGTTTTTTACTCCTACTTTAGCATAAGTACCAAGTAATTTACTACAAGAAGTTTTCTCTAATTATTTCATATGTTTTATTCTCCTTTCTCTACCTTCTTTCTCTTAATAAGATTTAATATATTTCTGTAACTCTGATCCCACTTTAAAGGAGAGAAGGGAGAAGAGTGGAAACTAGCATTGATTGAGAATTTCCTACATATATATCATACACTTACCAAACAACTTAACACTTCATCTAACAACTCAGTGAGGAGAAATGTTTTTATCTTAGTTTTGAAGATGCAGAGACTGAGGCTGAGAGGCATTGAGCAGTCTTCTGATATAGACATTTTCTAGCCCATGGGGGAGCCATACTCAAACCAGGTCTATCAGTTTATGTTGGTTCTTCTACATAAAATATTCTCAACATGAAAACTTGTGGCCTTATGAGTGTTTATTGGTTATTTTCCTCAAAGTGGGCCATTTGCTGATATCAGATTAACCAACTTCCATGTAGTACAATGCAAATTCATATGTAAAGAAAATTATATAAACTATTTAAGCACGAAACAAATTTTCAGAGTTAAGGAGAAAAACAAAACGAGTCGACTGTTAGAATTCTGTTCACTGGAAATGGAAACGTTGAGTTCACAGGCTGGGAGGAACCATGCTCTAGTAGGTATGGCAAGGGAAAGGATTCAGATTCCTGAATTCTATTTCTGTCTTGGCCACTAGCCACTCTGCTCATATTTTCACTTCTGCTAAAATATGACGAGAGTAGTGGAAGAAGAGTTGCCACATAAGAAAAGGAGTTCATTGGTTGAATGTGGTAGAGTCACAAACAATACTGGGATCCGAAATAGGAGCTCAGAGCTGAGACAGATTCTATCTGCATCACTGGCATAAAATAATCCTGAGTATAAAGTATAAAATAGTTCACTTATGAACTCTTTGAACTGTTTATATTTGTTTTTATTTTCCTATTTGAAATGACATTTGTAATTTTCACGGTGTTACTATGGATGGTGGCAATGCTAAATAAGAAAAAATACAATTGATTCTTAGTATATTTGAAAACCAAGTCATGAATTCTATTAGTGACTCTGCATCTTAATGAAACACTTGGCCTTATAGTGAAGACACAGCTAGTATGGAGGTGGTAGAGACACTTTGTTCTGAATCCTTGAAGTCACTATCCAAGAAGCCAAGCCTTATGGAATTAGTGACAGTGGAGGTTTCCTTTAAGGTATACTGGGATTCCTTTGAAAAGAAGGACACAGAATCTGTGGGAAGTGGCTGTTTTCTCATAGCATAAGTCCTGAGGAATTCTGAATTCTGCAACTGAGAACAAGTCTTGTGGAAGACTTCCTGCTCCCATCAAGGCCTGGAAAGGGATCACTGCTGAGAACAGATGCCCTGCCACTTTAGAGTAGGAAGACAAGTAAGCTCTTCTCTGTCTGGTTATTGACAACACAATGCTCCTTCTCATGGATTCCTCCTGCCCTCCCCAGGCCCACACTGCAATGACTAAATATGCCTGTTGCTCCAGTGAATCCAGTCAAATAAATAAGTCAATTCTCTTTAAGTTTGTGGTCTCTACTCCTTGTTGGTTTATTGCAAAATTAAAGGGCACACAGAGTAGAACCATCAATCAGTAACCAGCAGAGGAATAAGCTCTTTGTGGAATGTACTGAGAAGCAGGAAAGAAGAAGAAAAAAAGAAAAGAAACCTCATGAAATGGTCATTTGTCAAGAGAACAGAGAGGAGGAAAAAAATTCCTCATTTCACATGCAACATTATTTAGGAAAAGCCTTATTAAAGGTTTCCTATCTCACCAGGGGAGCAAGCACAGGAACGCAAACAAAAATCCCTCAAATGATCTCCCATTTATTACTGTTGGTTTCTTGTGGGTTTTGCTGTATTCCATATACAGAGCCAGAGATCATGGGGCCAAGGGTCTGGGACAGTGACTCAGCAGGTCCCAGACCAGGGGAAGGAGATGAGAAGTCACTACTGTTTATTAACAAACAAATAAACATAGCTGACTCCTGCAGCCTTCCATCCCAAGCAGACTTCCCATACCATCCCCTTTATTCAAAGTTAAAGCACCCAAGGATAGGCTTTGCTTAGAATTTCTAGTAAATACTATCTGATAAGGAGGAAAACTAAAGAGGCTAGGGGAAGAAAACTAACATATACGGAGTGTCAAACACCATGCTTGACATCTTATTTACTTGAAGACATTGTAGCTCAGATGCAAAGTTCATAGCTGGCATACATGAGGCTCCAGGTTCAAACTTCAGCATTGCAATAAACAGTAAGTGTCCTCCTTTAATTACCATCTCAGTCCTATGAGGGAGATAACATTATTCTCCCATTTTAACAATAAGATACATGCACAGAGAACTGTTTAAAACTACATTGAGAAGTTACATTCTGTACAAACATATCAAAAGGTAAGAGGCCCTATTACAGACTAAAAGTCCTAATTCATATGCAGCAGAGTTTAAGAAAAACTTTTATCAAAGACTTCTTAGGAAACTAGAGGAGTAAAAACTGAAACAAAACAACAACCAAAATGTTCTCAAATGCCGGTGTGCCTTCAAAGTGCCTATCCTGACAGTGTTCCCTCAATTCTCTCAGATAGAAAAGACACATTAGATTTCAGTTTCCCTACTCTGGATAAAGGAGGTAATACAAAGTAAAAGAGAGTCCCTTTTTTAAAAAAAAGCATTTTCTTAGTCAATTATGTGGATGGTCAGAAAGCTGTCCGCTTTTCAATCTTTATTTTAAAGCCAATAGCAAAATTCAACTAGAGATTTGTTAAAGTTTGAATATTAAATATTCAGGAAAGTAGTGGATCCTGAGGACTCTGACCTAATTAATGGACTAATTCCTTGATGGCATTATGAGTGACCTACTTCCTATTTGAATTCTCAGAGCTATACATTGTCCAAGCCCCTTCCTGTGAATTTTTCTCTGCTTCCTGTCTGCCATGAGGCGAACATCTCTCTTCCATCACATGCTCCAGGCTGCCATGATGTTCTGCTCAAGCATATGGGGCTAAGTGATCATGGAATGAACCCTACAAAACTGAGTTGTTGTCAGATATTTAACAAGACACAAAGAAAAAATATAGGCACTACAATTATAGAATGTTATTTTAAATATAAAATCAGTTATCAGATAAGATATAGGAAACACAGAGAAGCTCTGACTCTAATGAAGATTTGAAAATGAGTAAAATAAAATGTCGTTTTGAAGTTAAACTGGGTAATCAGCACTGATTAGCTTAGGCAAAATTGTATAATAAAAGGACAAAAATACAATCCCTAGACCATGATCATTAAGAGATGCTAACATAATAAGATGAAAAGTTAACAGAGACTGAATTATATACTATCTGAGCCCATGATCAATTGCCACTAAATAATTACAATAAAAAACTACTGCCTGTGATATAAAAACTAGGAAGTACACAGTGCTACCTACAGAGTATTTTTTGCTTTAAAAAAATCTAAATTCTAATGTAATGCTTTTAACTTCTAGTTTAAAGGAAATGTGAGATGTAATAGAACATGTTAAAGGGAACAGTTAGGAAGTCAAATCAAGAATGTGGGATTTTCAATATCCAATTTCTCCAAATAATCAGTATCACAAATATGGGGGAGGGCTGTTATAATATAAAGTTAGATTATAAAACATCCAAGTGTAATATAATAGCCTTAATTTAGACTTTTATGCAAACTAATCAATTCTAAAAGGAAGTCTTTGAGAGAATCATGGATATTTGAATATATATGGACTGAGTAGTAGATGATACTAACACATTATTGATAATTTTGTAGGCATGGATACTATGGTTTTTTTTAATGGTTTGGTAGAAAAATCTTTATCCTTTGATTTCTTTTTTCTTTTTTTTGTACTTTTTTTATTGTAAAAATGCTGTACAGAGGGTTACAGTTACATGAGCAAGGTAATGAGTCCATTTCCTACTGACCATTATTGCCTCCTCTTTTGTTTTCCCCCTACCATCCCTTCCCTCCCACCTCCACAACTACCACCTCCCCACCCCCGCTGAAGTTGTAAAGTTTGTTTTCAACATAGTGTTTTGTACATCTCCTTATTACAATGAGTCAACCTGTATCCTTATTCAAGCATTTTGTTTTTTCCCTTCCCCTCCCCAAATTAGAGAAGTGTACATACAAGATGCAGGGCGCCAACATCAAATACAGAGAAAATGGGGGTTATACCATGGGGGAGGAACATACAAAGCAATGAAAAAATCACATGGTACACTATAAATACATTAGAAACAATTGCAAGAAAGAAAATAAAGTATTTGTGTTCCTATCTTGGGGTTCATTGCACTTAACATCATCTTATAGTGGGCTAAAGACTTAAAGAGAAACTTCTCTGAAGAGGAAATAAGAATGGTCAATAGACACATGAAGAAATGCTCAACCTCTCTAGCTGTGAAAGAAATGCAAATCAAAACAACATTGAGATTCCACCTCACCCCAGTTAGAATGGCTATAATCAAGAACTCCAATAACAACAGATGCTGGAGGAGATGTGGACAGAAGGGAACCGTACTGCACTGTCAGTGGGAGTGTAAATTTGTTCAACCACTTTGGAAAGCAGTATGGAGGTTCCTCAGAAGATTCCACATAGAGCTCCCCTATGACCCAGCAATCCTACTTTTGGGCATTTACCCAAACGATCACAAACAAGGACGTACTATAGCAACCAGTACAACTATGTTTATTGCAGTATTATATACCATAGCTAAGATATGGAACCAACACCGATGTCCCTCAGTAGATGAATGGATCAAGAAAATGTGATACACACACACACATACACACACACACACACACACACACACACACACACACACACACAATGGAATTCTATGCCTCCATCAGAAAGAATGACATTGCCCCATTTGTTAGGAAATGGAAAGTCTTGGAAAAAATATATTAAGTGAAGTAAGCCAGGCCCAAAGAAATATAGGTCCCATTGTTTCCCTTATTTGCAATACTATGGTTTTAAATGCTTTTATTGATTTAAAAATGTAGGTAAGTGATAAATGTGTATTCTGGATAGAACTCTAAAAATATAAGCCATCAGAAGAAAAAAAGAAGAGACATAATCATGGTATATTCTGTAGCTCTGCCATGAATATCTTTATTTTGACAAAAATATAAATTCTAACTTTGGTTTTAACTAAGAAAGAATGGTATCAGCTCCCACGGGCTATCTTACATAGAAAACATAAGATAATGTACCAAATAGAAAATTTTAGACAACTCAAGCACATCAGGTAGAAATGTTGAGAAAATTAGCA